GGCATTCTTTAGGTCTTTATGCCTATCACTAATGGAGTTTAACAAGACCATAGCCAGCTGATCTTCTAATAATTTCTCATCACAGTTGGCAAGGTCCTGGGTCAATTTTGTAAATTTTGTAAATCTGTCCAAGTTCTCATCTAAGTCAACAGAAGGATCCATTTTGAAAGAAAAGATTTGTTTTAGCAAAAAAATTTGTTTGGAATAGTTTTTGGCTCATATTGGGCTTTCAATTTAGTCCACAATTCTTCAACAGTTTTAATTTCACCTATAGACCTAATCACATTGTCTGAAAGGTACAAGAAAATAGCACTCCATGCTATTTCTTCTAACTCAGTTCTTTTTGTAGCAAACATTTCAGTAGGCCAAGAATTATCTAAGGCTTTAGCATATTTCATTTCCATCAAGATAACCATCATTTTCTGGCTCCACATATTAAAGTCCCCTCTCCCATCATACATGCTCACTTCAAGCTTAGCAGTAGCCATGAAATGATTCACCAAGATAGTTCACATAACACAAGTTCGAATTCAAGAACACACAAGGATAAACAATAAGAGTACTGGGTAGAACAGGGAATTTGGGGTCAGTGACCAATGCACTTATATTATTTTCACAAAATAGTAAACACTTAACACTAAGTATAGAAAGCAAATTCCCAAAGAACAGAGATGACAATCCTATGTCTCAACTAACTTCTCCAGCAAGACCTTCCAATTGCACTCCTACTAGTGTTGTTATCTCAGATTCCCAAGACTTCTTGAGTCTTTGGACAAAGACCAGCCATAGTAGGTTTTGTTAGTAAAAGGTAAATCAAGGAAAAAATTAGGAGACCCTACTGTAAAGATTAATTACAGAATGAAGGAAAGATCTCACCAATAAGTTTGATAAAACTCAATTTCCACCGGTCAATGTTTACTGCAAGTTTCAGGAATCGGGTTTAATCAAGAAATCACAAAGCTCCAGTAGTCTAGGTTGCTCTAATACCATTGAAAATTCGAGAGATACCAATATTAACCAAGATTCCAAAAACACAATCATAAACTGAAAGTAAAGTGCAGGAAATAAAAATGAACACAAGGATTTTTTGGGCTAAAGCCCTAGAGGTTCGGCGACCACTTCTAATGCCTAATCCCTTGTTGAGCATCTATTAAAATGGATAAAACTCGGTTGCACTATAAATCCCCAAAATCAGGCACCAAAAATTACAAGAATGTTCCAGCAATTACAAGAAATAAAGTCACCAAGACTTATCTTTAAAATGAAGCACAAATCAAGTCTCACTCCACTAAGGAATCAAGAAACCCGGATCACACAGGTCACAAAAACAAACTGCCCTCTTCGAACCACAGACAAATGAGTGCTAATACATAGTGTATCACTTTCTACTGAGAGACTATACACAAAATCACAAAGATTTCACAAAAATTTTAACTTCCAGCATGAATCTCGCAGATTCATACACCATACCAAAAAACCCAGTGTATTAACACAAGTAAATGGAGTAGAACTTCATCATCCCTCAAGTATACACCTGAGAATCACTCAAAATTGGCTTGAATATGTGAAGAAGAGGGATTTCATACAAAAAGAAGAAGAGAGATGAAGAGGCGACCCCAAACCCTAGAGAAAATCTCTCAAATCTGAAAATGTAAGAATAAAGTCTCTCTCTCTCTCCAATCTGAAAAATCATGTTCCCAGTAGAGAGTCACAAGATATCATAATTGGAAGTCTCTAGAATCTGATCGGATGGTCATCATGATGCCAGGTGTCGAAATCTTGTTAATTGCCACAAGTAATAGAGTTGTCATTTTGAAAACAAGTTTTTCCCCACAGATTTTTGGAAGCGCACTTGACAAAATAAAAATCAGCAGTTTGAATTCTCGACGCTAACTTTACGTGGAAGTGTTCAAATAATTTTGTTAATCTTGATTCAACAAAGAGAAATTTCTTCCTTTCATAACGGTGGTTTCAGAGAAATTCAAAATTTCTGTAATGGGATAAAAACTCTTTTGGTCACGAAACTTTAATATGTACTTCAGTCATCGTAATTATTTTAGCATAAATGGTCAGTGAACTTATAAAGTTGTTCCAATTAAGTCACTGGCTATGAATCCACTAGTTAAATATAACACATTTGGGGATGTGCCTACAAATTCGATCTCGCTACAGTGATATTAAATTTGACAGTTTTTTTACAATGTGTGAAGTGGCACACTTTTTAACCCTTGATTTCAACAACACTTAAAATAATTCGTGGCACATATTTTTACGTCTTATAAAATGTCAACCTTAATGTATACATAGAATGTACTAATATCATTTTCCCTACAAATTATTGCAAGAATTATGTGACAAAAGAAATGACAATAAACTCAAGTCAAATTAATGTCCACTTCAATAATAAGTGTCTGAGTTTAAACATTTAAACGAGTGCTATGGAATCAAAATCACATGTGATGCAAAACATAATTGTAATGTTGTTTTGCTCATTGGACTGTTTTCATCCAAAATAGACAAAAAATTCCTTGAAAAATTACTTCTTTAAATCCTAGTCTAATGAGCGAAACACAACGGCTTTGCCCCCGACGTACGGTCCATTTTAGTCAAATTTCATCGTTTAGGGTTTCGAAAATGATTTTTTTTCACGTTTTGTAAATGATTTTGTTAATTTTAATTAAATTAGGATTTTAATTCCATTTAGGATTATATTATCTTTAATTCTTATCATTATCTGAAGTAAGTCGTTATCTAGAAGTTTAGTTATTATCCATATTTTAATTATTTCTTTAAATATAAGTTGGAATCCTTAATGGTCTTAATTGAATTTAATTATAATAAAGAGCTTTGAGAAGTTTCTCAAAATTATTCCATCTTTCTTGGCATTTGTGAGCGAATCAAAAAGTTTAAATATTTGCGAGTTTTTGTTCTTCCCTATAAGCTTCGCTACGTCAACATGTCAAACACTAGCTTATTAATGCCATCTCATAATTCTTATAACTACCGTCAATGACATAAACAACAACACCTAGACAAAACCATAAACTTAAGTAATTGATATGGAAGGATTGCCTTAACTGAAATATCTTTGTAAGTTTGCCGACAATCTATGCTAAAAGGGAGTTACTAAAATGTCACATTTTGAGAGTTTGATGACCAGAAAAGTTTGTTAACCTGTTCAGAAATTATATAAATATAAAAATGATAAATACTAACTTCACGTATCAATGTTGCATATTAGTCATTCTCATCCAAGGCACATGAGAGCGTAGTTGAGATTGAAGACCAAGAGTTGAGGCATCACAAGGAATTGACCCATAATCTCCATTGCCTCCTCCTCCTCGTCCTTCCAATTGTCTCCCATGTCTATCTCCTCTCTATTTCTTGATATCACTTTTTTTGTGACATTATTTTGTATTTAAGATCCGTTTGCCAAGCTAAATGGTTAATCTCCTTTTACAAGATAAATAAAGTTATAAAATTTGAGAAATTGTCGCAAATGGTCACTAACTATAGTCTACCGTGTGGAAATGGTTTATAATATGTTTCTTGGCACAAACGTCACCAACCAATGTGTTTTAGTGCTATTTTGGTCCTTTTTATGAAAAAGACCAAAATGCTCTTAAATTTTTATTAGAAAAAATTGCAGTTGGGTTCCTAAACTTTGCAAAAAGGTGCAAATGGCTACTTTACCGTATCTTCTTATAAAATAAATTGAAGGAAACTAACAAGATCATTTTTGTTCCGATTTAAAACTTTATTGATCAAATTGATTATATGCGTGAACATTTTTTATTTTTTTATTTTTTTGTGTATATTTTACAAAACTATTATGAACTAATTTAAGTTTAAACTTGTACTTAATTAACTATAGCATGTTAAAGAAAATTATTGGTTGTATTATTAAGTAATTACGCTGTTTTAGAATTTAAACTTTTATTTTATATTTATAACAAAAAGATAATAGAAAACACCATTTTATCACGAAGACAAATCCGTGAGTATTAAGCGGGTAGATGCTCTCAAAATAAAGCTGTCGGCTTGGATACAACGGTTGGGTGATTATAAAAAATAGACTTGTGTTATATCACCAAATTACAAGGTAGTGAACTACATGTTCAAGTGAATGAATTTCGTATCTTAACATTTAATCTAGCCAATGATTAAATGTTATTTATTGTCATGTGTACAAGTTAATTAACATCAATATTGTTACACATAATTATTCTTTCAAATTAGGCGAACCTGTTTTTAGCAATTGTTAGACTTTATTTATTATTTTTGTTGAAGGGTCAAATAACTGGAGTCATGGCTATATTGTTTGCTATTTATTTGGCATTATTACATATGTTAGTGGGTTAGTGCAATTAGTGGAAATATCTTGTATATTTTATCTATATCTATATTTAAAGAGTGTCAAATTGATGAAGAAAGGTTCGATGAATTAATTATTTTTGCGAGGGTAGGGTTTGTATTTGAAAGTCCATTGGTTCCTTGAATTCAGTATATATTAAGAGGTGTATATTAAAAGGTCTGAATTCGCATTTTTTTTGTAACAAACATGGATTACATGCTATGTTTGGCCACGACATCATAATTAGTATACAGAGTGCAACTTGCAAGTGTGAAAACAACATTCCTACCACAAATGAATTTCGAACTCTACTTGAGGGGAATGGGCTCAAATAGTAAAGCTAAAATGCGATCTTTAGTCTCATGATTTTGAATTCCATGTCCATCTCCATACTGGTACATGTATTGTGCCATTCGAGCAAGATTCACTGCAATTTCAATGAATGTTTGTGGGAATGGACAACTTGCATCTCGACCTTTGTTAATCTTTTTCCAGGTCTCGCATATCAAAAACCTTATGTGTTTGCGGGACTCATCTTCGGAAGCACCGGTTTCGTTCATGTAGCATTGTATTGATTTAGGAACATCGCCTCTTCCCAATTCATCCTGAATTAATAAAGCATAAAAAACACCTTTAGTTGAAAGGGTTAATTTCGAATTCCTATTGTCTCATTGATTTCATTAACCAAAAATGTCGTAAACATGAAATGAAATGGCTTGCTGCATACATACCGATGATGTTGCTAAATCATCTGCAAGCCTTAAAATCGTAGCCGACCAACGAACTATATCAGGATATTTCTCTAAGCACCGAATGGCTTCTTTCTCTATTGGATTGGTAACAGAGAAAAAAGAATGTGACAATATTACATGAGCTGATATTGAAATCAATGCATTTTCCATATACTCTTCCATTGTTGGGGTGTATCCAGTCAAGCACCATTTTGCCTATTGTAAGTATGCTTTACATAAATCTGTCCACTGTGACATTGATTTGACATGCTTATTGTAAGTATCTTAGATCGGAAAATTTTAAGGATATTTAAAACAAATAGAGAAATTTCTGTTGGTTGTAGTAAAGGATAAAATATGAGATTCCTTTGTATAGAAACAATACTCAATATAAGGGCTCGTGCAATTGTGCTACTCCTCTTAACTTTGTTAACATTTTAAGATAGAAGTCTATGACCTAGAAGGCGTATCATACAAGATTTGACAATAAAATGAACAAAATTTTCTTTTTCTTCTTTGATATTATTTGATGTTATCTAGTGCGTGTTTGAGCCACAGAATTTTGAAAGAATGTGTGGTTAAAAAATAAGAAAACGTTTTGGATTTATGTGTAATATTATTTTATTGAAAAATATGTAGTTGAAATGATGTTAAATTACTTTTAGGAATATATATATATAATTTTTTTTTTTTGAAAGAATGCGATTCAAACAGACCTGATATTCATCATAATACACATGCTAATAAGGATATATTCTTGAAGGAAACTAATAGTACCACTTTTCTTAAATATGGAATAATTACGATCCCTTTTTCTCTGAGAACATCGTAAGCCATTTCATTGACGAAGTTGTTGAGTGCTAGATAGAAAATTTGCATATAATCTGGAAGTTGCTCGATTGCATTGACATCCCATCTGTAAAGTTCCAAGAAGAAATAATTGTAAGAGCCACAAAGAGAAAGGAGGCTTAAAAAGAAACATTTGGAGGACGTTGCTAACCTTTCAATGATGAATGTAAAAAGTTCCAGTTCTTCCAAGGTACCATACACATCATATATATCATCCATAACTGTAATAAACAAGTTGGAGAAGAATTGGATTCTTGTCTGGTCTCTTCTCATATTTGTTTATGAACCACCTGTTGAATGAATTAAATAAATGTGTACTCTCCTAATAGATTAAACTTTTAGACGAAATAGTTCAACACTACCTTGCTTCAGCCCGATGTATGGTCCAGTGCAGTGGAATCTCCAAGGCATGGTGCACAAATGGATCACAATGAACGTCGTCAACACTTTTATCCTCGAGATGTTTGATAGTGAATTCTCTTGCCATTTCCAGAGTACTCTCACCTTCTATTGACAAGAAAGAAGCTTCATACAGTTGTAGTAATCCCTTTGTATCATTACATAAGCTTGGCTTGAAATCGCCCTTCTCATTCTTGAAACAATCAAATCTCTCTGCTATCAGCCAAGCTTTGGCATGTTAAGCGAAAAAAGTGCGAGAAAGTGATGTAAAAAATTAAACCTTAATTTCTACTTAGGAGAGCAATAATAAACAAAGAAATACTAAGATCTTTTGTGTAGTGGACTATCAGGGAAATCTAATACATGTAGGAAATATACAATATACCCCTGAAAAAATATTACATCCGTGCTCGATTCTATAAGTGTGCATTATGATTAGGCTACAAGGAATCTGACAATAAGAAATCATAAATCAACAGAATAAATAAAGGATTCTAAGTTGTTTTTTGTGCACCTTGAGAGACATTAAAGCCATGTTGTCTTAGTAGTCTAAATTCCAAAGCTGTAGCAAACAAATCCTTAATCTTTGGCTCTATACTTTTGCTATATTTTCTGTTTATGAAAGCCAATATTTGCTCAACTTCATCCTCAAAATGGTAAGATATTCCCAGCCTCTCCAAGTTATCAATTAATTCCAACTGATCCAGTGGTTCCATCGTTTCATCAAGCATCATCTTCACTTGCATCTTCATCTCAGAAGCCCTTGTTATGTATCTCTCTCCCTACATTATGCATATCATTTTTTGTCAGTCCTTACAATTAAATACAGATAGAAAAAAAGTTCTGCAGATGATGATAATTACCGTGTATTCACTATTTAAGGACTGAATATAATCGAATTCCCATATAGGGGGCTTGTATTTTCCTGATCGCCTAATCACGGTCTGATTGCAAGACGTAGAGGCAAGAATTCGATGTTGTATAGGATTAGAAGGAAGGCTGGCAGTAGTTGTCCCTAAAGCAAAACAGATCTCCATTTTTGGAAGCTCTGTTTTGAACGTGCAAACAGAAATTGGCCTCAGAATTTGCATGTTGATAATCTCTCTCTCTCTCATACTATATATATATATATATATATATATATATATATATATATATACACACACACACTAGAGAGAGAGAGAGATGATCTATAAAAAGGGCAAAATGTAACCCTGTGTCGCTTTAGTATTTGAATAATTCTAAACGAACATAGCCAACGACATAGAGGATGACATAGCACTCACATAAAATGCGTGGGCCTCGGGGTGAATAAAAAAATGCCGACCCCCTTGTGTGAGGGCTATGTCAACCTCAATGTCATCCTCTATATTCATCTAGCAAGGCTCAGACAATGTCATCATCTATCTTCATCTAGCAAGACTCATGGAATAAAGTTGTCGGTTGTGGCGCTATAGTATTTTTCACATGGAATAATACGAAGTCACTGTGTTAAGTGTTAAAATTGGCACCGACAACGGAAAGAAAGTTGATATTTGCAGGAATTTCTCTGCTTGTACAGAGCAGTGCTGCCAGACTTAAAACACATGTTGCCACGCTGCTGTGGCAGCATCTGTTTGGTCTGTTCTTTTTTCTTAACAGAAATTGCCAAGTGTTTTCTGTAAAAATTTTGGCAGCATATCTGTATAGCATGTGAAATAGGGAAGATGGACGAGTATTTTTTTGGCAATCCCATGTGAGTAGTTGGAGGGGTACTGTACACCGAGCAAAATTCTTGGAAGTAATTCTTTCAAAAATGCACAGTACACGTGATTGCGTTCTCTTCGATTTTCAACATTTTGAATCAAAATTCTATGTACCAGAATTCACTGTATAGATAAGAATTGGGTGAGTTAGATTGATTCTGAGTCCACATATCATTACTTACTTTTCTTTCTAAAAACACAAATTTCTAACCAGCTTTGAATGACGGAGACCCAACACGTGAGTGATTCACTTCTCATCGCTCTCCTTATTAAACCAAACAAATAGATGGAGATACATTTTTAATTCGTTTATTTATTTTATCATTCAATTGAATACTTTTAATTAGGAGCTATTTTGTCATTCTTAGTTAGGATTCGTCACTTTTTAAACTCTTTTAAGAGCGTGCTGTTTTCTTTGTTTTTTATGATCTAAATGAAATTGGAGCTTTTCCAATTGATCAAGGTTATTTAGCGAAAATCAACGAAGTTCGATTTGTGTATATCCATTCTCACTGCATCACAATCTAGAGTTGGTAGAGTTAGAGACAATCTTTGGAAGAGATGCATATCAAGTATATCAATTACTATGTATTATTATTACTTTTTAAAATTTCTCTGTGTTGTCTTCGTCGATTTCGGTTATTATTAATAATGACTAAATATTGACATATTGAATTTTTAGGACAAATTTCACAGAACATGCCTATAAATTACAAGTTTTGAATCTGTTAATGTAAATTAACTATTGTAGTGGATTGTAAATTTGATTTCCACGACTTAAGCACAAACGAAATTGAACACGAGAGAAATCTTCTGTCACTAATATAGTGGTGGCAAGTTTTGGGCCTGACTCGATTTCTCATGACGACCATTATTCTAAATGTGAACCATTATTCTTGTCTAGATCTTTAGATGAGCCATTGTATAATTTGCCTAATCATTGGAGTGGTAGGAAAATTTTGACTTTGTTAGAATTAGGGTGTGACCCGAATTCTATTTGAAAGATAATTGAAAATTTTAATTAAAGTTGACTTAAGAAAAATTTTATTTCAAATGCTATTTTGAAATCCTATTCGAAGTTTGTTAGGTAAATTCTAGTTGAAATTCTACTTGGAAGTCAACTGAAAGTTAAAATTTGTGTTGAATTTGAAGAGATCAAGATATAGATTAGGAAGGATTTCTGGTGCAATCATGCTCGCTTGGCGCTTGACTGGAGCTCGAGTGTCCAAAGTAGTGAAGCCAGCGATCGTCTAATGCTCAAGTGCCATATTCATCCTACCTAGGCCCATTTTCGTGTTTTACAAGCATTTTCAACGTTCTATTTCTTCTACGATATCAAGACTAGGGTTATGGATGTCTTCTATGTGTTTCCTATTCATATTTGGTTATTCTTTACAAATTAATCAGGTTGTTAAACCTCATTATAAGTTAGACAAATTATAAACACAAAATCATTGTATTCTTTATCCATATTCTAGTGAAATATCATTTCCTCCACAAATTATCTTGTTCTTGGGTTTGTGTTCAATTACTTCATGTTGTGCCATAAATATATTATTCCTTTCTTGTCCATTATTACAACGAATTGTTATCAGAGCAATTCGATATCTTACAGACTTTGTCGAAATAAGCAAAAAAGAAATTGAACATAACAAGTGTCATTAATTTAGGGGTTGAGTGACCATTTTTTCTCTGTTGCTGCCTTAAGATTTGGGTTTAGTAGAGGTGGTTTAAGTGCAAGTTGACGTAGCCATAGAGTTCACATTTTTTATTATTTTATTTTTTTGAATACTTATTTTACGCAACTGTATAATTGGCGTGGATGATTTGAGATCTTTATATAGATCATATTTGGCTAGCCTGAAAGGTACCTTCCAACAAATTTTGCAGTTGACTGTGTTTACAAGTTTATTCAACAAAATAACTATTTTATCCTCAACTATTTTATTTATCAAAGCTAAAGAAATATCCCTTATTCACACGAAATTTGTTGTATGTAAAAAATTATATATATCATATACATTTCATACTCAACGAGTGACAAAGTGACAAGTGTCATAATATTTTAATAAGTTTAGTGATACTCGAATAACCTTTGAAGTTCAACGACGTCTAAGAAAAATTTGAGAAAATTTAATAGTAACTCACTTGAAGTTGAAAGGCAATTGAGAAACATTAATGTTCAATAGCAATAGAAATTTTTAACTGTATATAAGACCCTGTTTGACATCCATTAAAAGGAATTTTTTGAGAAAAATGTGTTTTGGAATAAAGATTTTTTGGAGAATTAGTAGTTAAAAATTAGGAAAAAGTTTTAAATTTGCGTACAGAATATGGAAACGGCCCCCCCTTTTTTTGCATGCAAAATCAATATGTTGAGGGGGTAATGCCATAATTGTAACATTAGGGACCATTTATGCCAATTCCTTGTTAATAAATACTCCACTTTTGGGGTCCTTTGAAGGAAGAAAAAAAAAATAAAAAATAATCTACCTATCTCCCTTAAAGATAGACTTGATTTTCTTTTTCGTCAGTCCCAAATTACTAGCTACTTTCCTTGATGAAAATAAAGATATATATTAATTTTCTAATATGTCATATTTAATGTATCTTGTTATCAATAAATATAAAACAAATACTATTTAAACTATTATTTAATGTAGGAGTATATATAGAAAAATGTAACAAAATTTATATTTTCAATTATATTAATAACATTTTCTTAATATGTGTTAAAATATAGAGAAGTTTATTTTTATGGGACGGATGTAGTAAATAAGATGCACTGTGAAACAAGAAACCATGATGCTTGACAATGAAAAATTGGTTTCTTAACTTGAACAATGGAACTGGACAAATTGATAAAAACTTAATGAAGTTGATAAAGATAATTTAATACTTTAATTGCTT